TATTTTGTGGAAGAGCCACACTCAAGGGGCCGCAGTTTGCCGACCACTGAACTAGAATATCTCAATTAATCCCTACAACAATGCCAAGAAGTCAGTGGCATAATTTCTAACTACAGCTGACAAGACTGAGGCCTAGTGATATGCCCCAAAAGTCACAATGCCACGCAAAAGTCTCCTAAAAGCAAGCACAGTAGGATTCCTGCCTATTAGGATCACTCCCATTCTTTCACTCAGCCAATAGACTTTTACTCGGTACCTATCAGGGGCTCTTAATATCAGAGGTGCTGGGGATATAAAGATAAAACTAAGAGACCCTGTTCTCAAATAATTAAATCTAGTTGGCAATCCATTTTCAAAAAAAAAGAGGGGGTGGGGATCTTAAAATACATTCCAAACATTATGTCAATCATCTCCCAATTTTCAAAAAAAAAAATGTGTACTCATTTCAGAGAGGAAGGGAGAGGGAGAGAAGGATAGAAACATCAATGATGAGAGAGAATCATTGATCGGCTGCCTCCTAAATGCCCCCCACTGGGGATTAAGCCTGAAACACGGGCATGTGCTCTGACCTGGAATCAAACCGTGACCCTTTGGTTCATAGGTCGATGCTCAACCACTGAGCCACACCGGCCGAGCAATCATCTTCCAATTTTTAAGGTAAATTGATAAATAAAAAATGACAGCAGCAATTCCCAATTAAGGGTCCATGATGTACCTCCAATTAGCTAAGATGAGGAACTGTAAAGCCAGAGTGCCAGGAATGGAATCGACTTCACTACTTCCTAGTCGTGCGACTGTGGCCAAAGGTTACTTAATCTCTCTGTGCCTTGGTTTCCTCATTTGCAAAATAAGAATGAAAAAACAACAACCCTCTATGTTCAGTAAGACCCATAAAGTTGCCCTGACCGGTTTGGCTCAGTGGATAGGGCGTCGGTCTGGGGACTGAGGGTTCCTGGGTTCGATTCCAGTCAAGGGCATGTACGTTGGTTGTGGGCACATCCCCAGTGGGGGGTGTGCAGGAGGCAGCTGGTCGATGTTTCTCTCTCATCGATGTTTCTAACTCTCTATCCCTCTCCCTTCCTTTCTGTGAAAAATCAATAAAATATATTTAAAAAAACAAAAACAAACAACAAAAAAAAACCCCATAAAGTGCTTAGAAGAGTACCCAGTTCAGAGTGAGCACTATGTGTGTATTTGCTATAATTATTATTATGGGATGAGCACTACCAACATCATTACATAGATGAGGAAATGGATTCAGGTTCAAGATCTATATATATATAAAACCCGAATATGCAAATAGACTGAGCGGCAGAACAACTGAAAAATTGGTTGCTATGAGGTGCACGACCACTAGGGGCGCACAGGAATCATGGCGGGCACCGGCAGCAGGTGACAGAGTGTGGGACATGGCTGGCATCGGCTGTGGTGGGAGGGTGGAGCAGGTGAGCGGGGGCGCCAGACCAAGGTGGGGCTCCGGTCACTGTCATCAGGGTGAGCCTCTGGTGGTTACTGAAAATTCTTTGCTCCTGCATGCTGCGGTCCTGCCGGGCGCTTGCACCTGCTGCCGGCACCAGCCCCGTTTGCACCTGCAGCCTGTGCCAGAGCCACTGCTCGCACCCGCTGATGGCGCCAGCCATGCTCGCATTCGCTGCTGGCGCTGGCCCCAATCACTCCGTGTTATCAGCGGGTGTGAGCAGGGCCAGTGCCTTCAGCGTGTGGAAGCAGTGCAGGAGCGGGGCTGCCAGTAGACAGGGGACCGGGAGGGGCTGGGCGGGGGCGTGGAGGATGGGCCGATACCCGCCCCTGTGCCCACCACAGCTTCGCGGCCTATAGTTCCTTTTAAGGTGCTGGGCGCTCGCACCTGCTGCTGGCACCAGCCCTGTTTGCACCTGCAGCCTGTGCCAGAGCCGCTGCTCACACCCGCTGATGGCACCGGCCATGCTCGCATTCGCTGCTGGCGCTGGCCCCAATCACTCCGTGTTATCAGCGGGTGTGAGCAGGGCCAGTGCCTTCAGCGTGTGGGAGCAGTGCCAGGAGCGGGGCTGCCAGTAGACAGGGGACCGGGAGGGGCTGGGCGGGGGCGTGGAGGATGGGCCGATACCCGCCCCTGTGCCCACCACAGCTTCGCGGCCTATAGTTCCTTTTAAGGTGCACGAATCATGCACTGGGCCCCTAGTCCTATATAATAAAGAGCTAATATGCTAATTAGATCAAACAACCAAATGACCTTCCGGACATCCTTCCGGACAACCTTCTGGACAAAGCTGGGGCTGCGAGGGCCAGCCGAGGCTGTGAGGGGGTGGGAGGGCTGAGCACCTTGCATGAATTTTGTGCACCGGGCCTCTAGTATTATATAAAAGGCTCCAGAGTTGGGCACTAGACCATCCCAGGTCTGTTGAACTCCAAAGCCCAGGCTCTTCTCTCCAGGTTCTGCTGCAAGCACAGGTAGCATCTGTCCCCCTTTGTCTGAAGGCTCACTGTTTCTCAAGGTTAGAAGCTAAAGGGTTATGGAGAATTGTGGGATTACTTACTGTGCACTCAGCACTAGGAGAGAGTAAAGGAAGCTGAAGTCAGTACCTCTCCCTTCCAGGCCTTACACTCAGTCTGAAATAAAACAAGCACCTATCAGGCTGCAATTCAATAATGGCTAAAGGAAGGAAGTAGAGTTGAGTGTATTGTGCGATAAAAACATAGAGCCATGGTAGATGCATTTAACTTAGGAAAACTCAACCATACGCAAGGGGAAAAAATGTAAACAGTGCAAGAGATTGCCCAGCCACCCTAAGCCATGAGTAGACGCCCTAGCACGAGACAGAAGACTTGAATCTGCTGCTCCCTCAGTCCTGAGTCTAGACTCAATTTAAGCTGACAGTGTATCTGCTGCTCTCTTTTTTAGTTTTATTCATTTCAAACGGGTCAGATCTGGCCCGCGGGCCGTAGTTTGCCCACGGCTGGTCTAGACTCAATTTAAGCTGACAGTGTATCTGCTGCTTGAAGATACAGTGGAGCCCTTTTACACATGTGTAAACTACATGGCTCCAAACCCTCACAAAGAAAGAAGTAGGACTAATTATCTAGGTGCCTCCTGCATTCAATACCAACATCCCACTGGGCAGGGGATGTAACCAAGTCTGACACAGCCAATGAAGGCGGTCAAAGCTGAGAAAGGAAGGTAAATGGTCTTAAGGACTCATGACCATTCAAAAAACATATATAAATAAATAAAAGCTTTGTCCAATGTATGATGTCTTTATCCACCTTCTCAAAGAAGTTGAGGAATAAAATGAGGACAAATAAAAAACACAGATCAAGCCGAAACCGGTTTGGCTCAGTGGATAGAGCGTCGGCCTGCGGACTGAAAGGTCCCGGGTTCGATTCCGGTCAGGGGCATGTGCCTTGGTTGCGGAAAAAACACAGATCAAGGAAGAGTTAGAGAAATTGAATAGAAAATCAGTTACAAAGATAACGGTGAAAAATAAGAATCGGCAAGTCAGAACCTTCATAGAACTGCCAAAGTATTCCAAGCAGCAAAATGCTAGAATAATTTCTAAGTAAGATCCCTCAATGTAATCACATACTGAGCGTGACTGTACATAGTACACACACACACACACACACAAATACAGCATTTATAACAAAACTATGTACACTACATGTTAATGGGAAATTAAGAGATTTTCGTCCAAGGGTATCTTAACCAGATTTTCACTTGCTGACATATTCCTCAACCTCAGTCAACTCTTTGGTATACAATTGTAGAAATAGCAATTTATTTTAAATCTTAAACAATACTGTGTTGGCTTTTCTGAGGCAGGACATTGATCTCCAGTGAGAACATTTCTAGGGATTTCTAGGAGCAATTCAAACTTTTATGAGACTTTCACTTGTAATTTAACCTCTGGTTAATGTTTGACTTGTATATATTACATTTGGAATTTTTTTTTAAAGAAAACACTTCATGGCTAACTTCAAGAACTTCCAATTTAAATCCTCTCAAACATGTGAAATTAAAAGTTATGTTTTAATTTGTCTGGTTTGTTTAGGATTTTCCCTTCTGATGGCGAATGTACTCTAAATAAGCAATACTGAGCTATGACACTTGATGGCAAGAACTCTTGCCAGGCCGGTGTGGCTCAGTGGTTGAGCACTGACCTATGAACCAGAAGATCATGGTTTGATTCCCAGTCAGGGCACATGCCCAGGCTGCAGTCTCCATCCCCAGTGGCAGGAGGCAGCCGGTCAATGATTCTCTCTCATCATTGATGTGTCTATCTTTCTCTCCCTCTCCCTTCCTCTCTGAAATCAATAAAAATATAATTTTAGAAAACCAACTCTGTACTCTAATCCAAGTGTATATGATAGGTTTCTTGCAAAAAAACCCCAAAACAGTTTTTCACAAAACCTCAACAACCAGGATCTAGTGTCAACTCTGCCCATGTGACAGCATGCACATCAAGAATTTGGCTCCTAGTAGGCCTTCCATATATACAAAGATGCCATTATTATTGTGTGACCTTCGCAACCCACTTAAGCTCTCTGAGCCCAGTTTCTTCATCTTCAAATTGAACAGGACTAGAAACACAGCCTGGAAGTTACCCAAATGTTAACCACAGAGTAACCATATGATCCAGCGATTCCACTCCTGGGTACAGATATTAAAAAAAAAGTGAAAACATGTTCACACAAAAATTTGTATGTGAATGTTAACATGAAAGCCAAAAAGTGAAAACCACCCAAATATCCATCAATAGATGAATGAATCAACAAAATATAGGATATCCACATAATGGAATATTATTATCAATAATAAAAGAATAAAGTATAGATACATGCTACAATGTGCATGATGAACCATGAAACCATTATGCTAAGGAAAAGAAGCCAGTCACGAAAGACCACATACTGTATGTATAAAACCGTTAATATGAAATGTCCAGAATGAGCAAACCCATAGAGACACAAATTAGGTTAGCAATTGCAGGTGCTGCGGGAAGGGAGAAATGTTGGAGTGACTGCTAATAGGCATGGAGTTTATTTTGAGAGTGATGAAAATGTTTAGATTGCAGTGCTGGCTGCATCACTCTGTGAATATACTAAAATCACTGAATTGTACATTTTACAAAGGTGAATTTTATGGTATGTGAATGATCTCTCAAGAAAGCTGTTATTTAAAAAATTGAGTAAGACAAGATGATCTTCATAGTTTTGTGGAAGAATTACCTTGTGCTGACCTTGGAAGGCAAAGATGGGGAGAAAGGATTGAATCTGCTACTCTCAAAATCTGCAAGAGGCATTTAGGAAATGTTTCCTTAGTGCCATGGCGGGAGAACAGCATGATGTAAGGTGTGGGAGGTGAGTAAAATTAGAAGAGGTCACCATCATTCGTAGGTACAATGCTGTATGCTGCACAGGTGGGCTCTACTATCCTGATTTCACAGACAAGGAAACCCAGGCTTAGGGGAGCAAGGCATGTGTCCAAAGCCCCATTGTTAGGGAAGATGCGAGGTTTGTAAGGCAGGGAGACTGGCCTAGAAGAAGACCCATGTCTGAAGCACACACAGATGTACAGGAAGGACTGGGTCAGTTGTCAGGGAGTTTGGGATGTGAAGGTTGGTTGGTTTAGACTTGGAGACAGTGTAGGTTATGACAAATGAAAAGAGATGAACAAAATTCACCTGGGTTGGCATATAATAGTGGCTCTCAAGCTTAGCTGCCCTTAGAATCGCTGGGGGTAAATTAAAACTCCTAATGCCTAGGCCAATGATGGCGAACCTTTTGAGCTCGGCGTGTCAGCATTTTGAAAAACCCTAACTTAACTCTGGTGCCGTGTCACATATAGAATTTTTTTGATATTTGCAACCATAGTAAAACAAAGACTTATATTTTTGATATTTATTTTATATATTTAAATGCCATTTAACAAAGAAAAATCAACCAAAAAAATGAGTTCACGTGTCACCTCTGACACGCGTGTCACAGGTTCGCCATCACTGGCCTAAATAATGTTTGCAAGTGTACTTTTGCCATATGCGGTTGATATTTGCCATAGTAAAACAAAGACTTATATTTTTGATATTTATTTTATATATTTAAATGCCATTTAACAAAGAAAAATCAACCAAAAAAATGAGTTCACGTGTCACCTCTGACACGCGTGTCATAGGTTCGCCATCACTGGCCCTAGGCCTTACTTGCAATGACATCAGAAATTCTGGGGTGGGACCCTGGTGATTTCAACATGTAGCCAAAGTTGCCAACCACTGCTTGCAGGATGGCCTATTCAAACGCACTTAATCCCAACAGCCCCCTCTTCCCTATTGTACAGATAGGGAAAGGGATTCAGGAGGGCTGAATGCTATGTGCCTGTAAGAGGTTGTTACTGTTCCTTTCCCAAACCAGGGCTTAATCATTCCAGACTCCCGAAGTGTTAAGTGTATTTACTTTTCTATTAAAAGCGGGGCTTGTTCTTTATTCTTCCCTGGAGCAGATAAGCTAACACCCTTTAGGTGTTCAATAAATGTTCATTCCAAACAAAACAAAGCAAAACCAAAAGGGGGGAAGGCAGCTACCTCTACTCTTCCAACTCGCTGGGTCCACCGAGCCTTAACAAGCCTGGGTAAAACCTCCCACCCTGCAAGGCTCGCCTTCTCCCAATTAAAAAGACGTTTGAACTCCAACTGCTAACCTCGGGGCTCAGGGAGGCAGGGATAAAAGGGACGAGGTAAACAATCCTGCCTCTGGGGAGCTTTCAAGTTAAAACCTAAGACTAAGACCTATAAACAAACAATACCCCTTTGAAGGCTGTTGCGAGGATTAAACAGGTAACTGTGCGAAGGCGCGCGGTGCCGGGCTACCCTGGGGAAGTGCTAGCCAGGCGGCACATGCAACTGCAACACATGACGGCACACAAGCCAAAAAGTGTTCAGGGCCCAACAGAGTC